TCTGTTCTAATTTTCAGTTCTTTGCATTTATTTGGAGAGTTTTGTGGAAGTTCATCAGTTCATAGTTTCTAGTATGTAACTTCAAGAGTAAAAATTCAATTGTAAATTTTTCCATGATATCCAAAATAATAAAGAACCACCTATTATATTGTGTTAATAACTGCTGAATTGGGTGCATTTGGTTAAATTTTTCAGTGTGTAATCTGAGCATCAGCGGATTGGTGAGGCCCTATGCGGTCAGGGAGGGATTTAGGGATGAAATGCAGGTTTGCTCTGTACTTGACACGTGGCTTTCCCAGTCAAGGAGGACACAGGCCATTCTATGGGAGGTAATGAGACATGCAGAGTCATAGATTGTAGTAACTCAAATTCCTTTGAATACTGCCGCCTAGCCCTCAATTTTGGGCAAGAATTCTGGAAAATCTGAACAATTAAAACTATCTTGTGTTTAAAAATATTTATGTATCTGTCCCCTCAGCCACTGGGAAACATTTTCACTGAAATTCTTGATTTGTGAAAAAGGATTTTTCTTCTCTGGAGCTAATGATGTTTTTTTACACTACTCTGGCTTTCTCAGTCATCTGCATGTATTTCACGTGTTTAATTGATTCACACTGAAGAAATTTTAACACAATCTAAATTTGTCATCATCTTAGTCTTGTGTTGGCACAGAAATTCTTTTAAAAGATACTAACATTTTTCTTTAGTGTTACTTTTGGTGGAACCGTTGAGATTAGGGGCAGAGAGGAAACAAGTCTATTGTAATTTCTATTGAATGCAACAGTGGCTCAGGAACTCACTGAGTTCCTCATTCCTGGCTTTTTGTGATGTTCCTGTGATCACTCATGTGACTTAATAATTGTTTTCCAAAGAAAGATCAAAAGGAGGGGAACCATCTCCTGTCTTGTTATTATAAAAAGTCACATCTCACTATTAATTTATTGATTTTTATATCCACATTACAATGTCAAGGCCAAACTCAATTTAAAATTTTACAAAACTGTTTTTGTAGTGTGTGTGTGTGTGTGTGTCCCCGCCAAACTCAATTTAAAATTTTACAAAACTGTTTTTGTAGTGTGTGTGTGTGTGTGCGCGCTCGCGCGCTATCGTGTCCCTTTTTGTAGGTCAGGATTGATACTAGGTGTCTTCTTCTATCTCTCTCCACCTTTATTTCCAGACCAGGTCCGTCACTGGATATAGCTCACCCATTTGTGTAAAATGTCTGGCTAATCAGTTCCAGGGATCAGCTTGTCTCTTTCCCTGGAAGTTGGATTTTAAGTGTCTGAAACCATGCCCAGTTTTTACATCTGTGTTGAGGATCTGAACTCAGGTCTTCATGCCTATGTTGTATGACTTTACAGATTGATCCAGCTATCCAGTTCTCATGTCTTCTTAGGGAGGGATATTTCCTACCAGGAGATGAGGACCTATGTCTCTGAGCCACTGTTCTTATGTTCTTGAACATGCTGGTCTGGCATATGACCTGTCTGGTCCCAGAAAATTACAAAATAAACTAGGCTTTTATTCTTTAAGAAAATTCCCACAACATAATGTAACGCTCTGGGGTGATTAGAAATGTTTTGTCAAAGCTTGCTGCTCTTTCTATATATACATTTCCCCTCTATCTAATGATATTTCCTTCAATAACTTCACACAAAGATACAATGTTCTTAGATTGTAGCTTCCTGCTCCCCCAACTCTTCTCTTGCCCATCCTCCCCCAAAATTCATATCTGGTACTTTATGTATTTTTAAATGTTTATTTTGCTTGGCAGGACATAGTGCTGAAGAAAACTGACCTTCCTTCCTTCAGCAATGATCACTTGTCAAGATCTCTCAAACTAGGAGTGGAGTTACATGAGCCCCTCTCCATTAAAGCTGGAGTGACAGCTTGATCTTGTACAGATCCTGTGCAGGTGCCACAGCTGCTGTGAGTTCATGAGTGCAGTGGCCCTGGCATATCCAGAAAGCACAATTTGAAGCAGTACTCCCCAGCCTCTGGCTCTTAGAATCTTTCCATCCTCTCTTCTATGATTTTTCTGAGTCTTTGTGGGAGGATTCATCCCTCCATGTTTCCCCCTCTTTCATTTGGAGTTGTTGCCTTCTCATGAGATAAAAATTTAAAGCTGTATTGACTTATTTGTCAGTTTTACTCAAATGGATTAGGGGTAGACCTCTGTTCATGAAAAACCCAGTATTTATTGTTTTATAAAGTTTAAAAGTGATAGGCATACCCCCTTTTCAGGTTTCCAAAGGCCACTATAAATGTATACTACCTCAGTCTCCCATGACTTTACTTACTCCCCGTGTTGGTGTTATGGCAACTTATTACAAAGTTCTTGTGGTTTTTGAGGGAGAAATCATGGCTTCACAGCCTCATGCTCTGTACTTGATAGTGTAGAGACACTTTACACAGATTATGGGACAGAGAACAGCATGGGTCATCACTGAAGCAAAAGAGCCCATGGTTATTGTCTTTGGTATAGGATGGCTGTAACCGCATTCCCATTGACCATAAAAGAAAGAACACAGTCTAATAGGGAAGGGATAACCAGCTCACAGGACTGTTTGAACTTGAGCCAAGGGCTAAATGGCACTCCATGCATGGGGTGCTAGTCTGGAGTGCCTCTCCAGAGTCTTGCAACCTCCATCTGAGACCAATGGGAAGACCTTCGTTCTGGTCAATGCAATCACCTTTTGGCCAGCAGATCTCTCTGCCACTGTTTTTGTCACTCAGGTCTTCTTAGCTTGTGCCAGGCCTTTAGTTTTTACCTTTAGGTTATATGAGCACCCTTTGCATCTGAAGAAAACTGAAGGAGAAACGGTCTAGTGATGATTATTGATTCATCAATGCCACAGTCACGGTGGCACCAGCAACTATGTGTCTTGGGCTTTTGTTTGCGCAATGTGGAGAATAAGCTGACCTTCCTAAGGAGTCAAGACCTAAGCATAGCAGGCATCTCAAAGGGGCTTCTCTGCCTCTCTCCGTAGGATGCTTTTTGATGTTAGCTAAGATGGCAAGTCTTTCACAGGTGACTGAGGTGCTCTGGATGTAAGATAAAGAATTCTAGATTAGACCTCACCCATTTACTTTGTTCTTTTCAAAATTTTTCAGGTTAAAGCCATTGCATGCATCCCCTCCGGCATTGTGCTAGCAACAATATGAAGGCAGAGAGCTGAAGACTCATCTCCCAGTATTTTAAATAGCTTTATTGAAACACATACCATCCATTTAACACAGACAGTTTAGTAGATTTTCAGGTACTCATGGTATTTAAGTTAATCTCAGGGTCATATCAATGCCTTTACTTCACAATCCCTCTAATCCTAGTTCTCTATCTGTCCCTTCCTTCAGGACATCACCTCAGTGCTGGGGGCTGAGCACCATACCCAGAGGCTTTTCAAGTGCTACCACATCCTATGGTCTCAAAAACCTTGAAAATAAGACCTCTTTCACCTTATGAACAATGATAGTAGTACCCAAATCCCAGCATCTATTTAACATAGCCATTGTCTCATTTACTGCATATGGAAATCCACTGCTTTAGATCTCATGCTTCTCTACCATTATGTATTGACTCTTTTGCATTAGTTCCTATTTTTCTTGTGCTAGTTTAGTTCTATTACTTGTTCTTGGAGACCAGACCTGACACCTTGTTACTAGGCCAGTGCTCTGCTGCTGACCCAGCCGTCCTTCACTCAGGCTGGCTGTGCTGCCTTTGGAAGGAAAAAGGTTAGAAACCATTAGGATTTTGAAGCTTCTAAAGACTAGACACTTCACAGATTTTGTTGTTTTTAATCAGGAAAAGAATATTTTTGCTCAGATAAGATGTATAGAGGACTACTGGAGGGCTATAGTCATGTAATAATTGCTACTAATATTGGTTCTTAAAAAAGTTTTGTTATTATATTTTAAGTTATGTGTATGTGTGGGTTTGTGAATATGTGAATATGTGAATGTAAATACGGTTGCACACAGAGGCCAGAGACATCAAGTACCCTGGAGCTGGAATTATAGAATTATGAAATGAACCATGTGAGTGCTGGAAACTGAACTGTGGTCCTCTGCAAAAACAGCATGAACTCTTCACAGCTGAACCATCTCTCTGTCCTTGAATCCCCAGTTCTGATTCAGAGATTATAAAACTACTTCCTTTTCAAAAAACTTCCATTTGGTGTTTATTTGTTAACCTAAGATTTGCTTCCTCCCCTGCAAGCTGATAGATAGAGCTTACTAGCAGTTAGCAAACTTTTGTATACTGTAAAGTAATTCCTGTGCAATGAGCATTTTATTGTTGTTAGAAATCAGTTTTAAAATGCCACATGAGAAGCATGCTACAGTGTGCTAGAGCATCAGGGGCAAGGCTGAGGACTGGACTGGCGCTTCCGTGACTATGAGCATGTGTGTAGCTTGAAACAAGCAATTCCTTCAAATCCCAGCATGCAAAATATTCAGATCCCTGACTCTCTGGCAAAGTTTAGACATTTTATGTAATGTCTAGTGAACAGTGACTGTTGGGCACTGAAACCAACTTCCACTGTTTCTAAATGAGAGAAAAACTTTTTTTTTTTTGGTGTTATGTACATACTTTGGTTTGTGGTAAGAGTATTGCTGATAAAAAAGGCCCAGTTGGGGTCAAAAACTTTACCAATTCTAACACTAGTTCACTGAACCTGAACGTTCATAAATTCAAAGCATGAGGAATGGAAAGCCAAAATTTCCAGTTTTGTTTTATTACCTCAGAAATAAAACAGCGTGAACCTGGAGTTTGAGTTGAGTTCCTTTGGTAATTAACTATGTTAGAGTTCAGCACTGCTTATCAGAGAAGTAGTTTTATTTGTTTTACTGAGTGAATTACTTTATTAATATAGTTTAGTTTATTTGAGCCAGTGACTATTATATGCTATCCTTTAGTCAGGGATTTTGATTATTATTTTTTTGGAATGGTTTCAAAAGAAGCCTGTACACTAATGACTTTTTTTACACTCTCATTTTTCTAGGAGTCAGAGAATAATAAGTTATGTTCCCTATATTCCTTCCGAAATACGTCTACCTCACCACATAAGCCTGACGAAGGGAGTCGGGAGCGCGAGATAATGAACAGTGTTACTTTTGGAACCCCGGAACGCCGCAAAGGGAGCCTTGCCGATGTGGTGGACACACTGAAGCAGAAGAAGCTGGAGGAGATGACTCGGTCAGAACAAGAGGGTATGTGGACCTCCCCTCTGGGCTTTTCTTCCACCCATAGCAAAATGACCAGAATTCCAAGAGCTCAAAGTGCCTAAGCGCCATAAGCTAGGAACAGTCTCTCAGAGGTTACTATGGTGACAGCTGACTGAAGTCCATTAGGAGTGCTAAGCAGATAGCCTTGGCTTTCTGGAAATCTGTGCATTTTGTTTGTTTCTTCCAACACCCTAAGGCTTTGAACTGACCTTAACCATCACCCTGGAAAAAGACAGTAAGGAAATTTTCCTAACTACAATTTTAGTGCCTTTTCTCTAATTTCCTTTTGGAAGATAGTTTTATGATCATATGTCAAAAAACCAAGTAAACTTTTTTCTAGTGTATTTTTAATTCCATTTAATGACTGTTATACATTTTAAATTAATGTTCTCCCTTGAATGTTGAAATAGAGTGGAGAGCTGCTAATGACCTCCAAGGGTGGGAGCTTTGATGTGGCACCTGCCATGGATGTCCTGCACTCAGTTTCTCTACAGAAATCTCTGTATTTAAACAAATTGCTGTGTGGTTATCACAATGAGTGTGTAATGTGTTCTTTATCTGAGTATTTCAGGCCTAACATAGCCCTGGATTCATCACTTGTAAGTGAAATTTAGACCTCCATGGCACTATAGGGGAACTAGGATTTGATGAGCAGGTAGTGCCCACCTAACTTAATTTTATTCTTGTAAAAACTTAGTTTGTCTTTAATTGGTTTTTGTGGTACTCTTTCTAAAAGGTATTGCTCACTTCCTTGTCATGCCAAACAGATTGTTGGTATGTACATAGATGCTTTTGTTGACACAGGGTTACTCTGCATTAGTTTAGGAACTGCAGCCCTATCTAATGACTACTCAAGCTCTTCAGTTTCTTCAGTTCTACCCCAAGTTCTTCAGTTTCTGTAAGCCACAGAATTCAAAAGTTGTTTTGGTCCTTGTATTTGACGTGGTAACTCAAACATCGAGAATTAACTCAAACAATGAATATAAAAGTCTCTTGTAAGCTGCAAACTATGTGAATTTGAGATGTTCCTGATAATTATCACATTATAAATGTCAATTATTCCACCATGCTTTAATGTAATGATGCCTCTGGAGACCACTGAGGTAATTAGGATGTTCAACTTATTTCTCTTCAATTATAGACCTTTAGAGTTTTGTGTTTGCTTGATGCATACATCCATATGCATCTTTGCATACATCCATGTGTGATTGTGTCTTTTTTTCCCCACCTATGGGTATGTGTGCATGTGTGCTCATATGCATTGGTTGCCTTTCCAATATTGGATTGCTGTTTATTTCTTTCCCAATTGTCAGTAGTATCTAGTATGTTTCTCCCATTTTTCTGTAGATTGTGAAATAAGATGATTGGCACATTCTGGTCTATATTTAAAGCATGAACAAGTGTGCTCTAGAAGGGTCAATGAACAATTATGGGTAAAACATGTGATCATTAGTGTTCGAACTCTGTGCTGACTCCTCCTCTTTCAGAGTTTTATTTTCCTTATGACTCCCTTCAATGTCTACTGAAACCCATTTCCCCTTTCCTAGAGGTAGGGTAAACACAGAAAATAAAATACATAGACTTGTAGAGAGGCAAATCATATTAAACTACCAAATAATTTTAAAAATGTGATGAGGCAGAATGTGATCCTTTACTAATACAATAAAATAAAGTTTAAGGTAGGCCTCCAGCAATGCCATTCTAGTTTAGCAATACTATACCTGACATCTGCAGTTTTAACAAGTACAATGGGATAGAAAGTTGCCTGTTGTTAGTGTGATAGCATTATAGCCACAATAGATGGTTGCTTTCACCCATCACTTAAGGAAATGCAAAATTTTTCATTTGAGCTTAGTTGAGGAAAGTTTGCTTTTTCAACTGAGTTCTGTCTACCCCTGTCTCTTAGGGTCTATGGACTCAAGGTTGAGATCTCTGATGCTAGATGACATGCTGTGTTCACAATGCATAAAAACAGTAATGTCTAAATTTAAACAATTCATATTCTAGTAGAAAGTGAAGATATGTATCAAATGAAATCTAGTTTGAAGTCTAACAGTAACAGACAGGTTCCATGAAAGCAGTACAGAGAAATTGTTTGGGGTGTTTACAAGGAAGGAGAGTTCTATGGGGAATAAGTCCTAACTAGTCATGGAGAATGAAAGGGTTTCTATAGGTGGAATGCAGGGGAGAGACATTTCAGGCTGAGGAACAGTCATTGTACTTAAAACAGGCAGCCTTCAGGTTCTAACTTGAGGTGAATTTGCATATGGTATGTAAAGATGAAAAACTAGGCTGTATTCAGATTGTGGCAGGCCTTGCAGTTTTGTCGAAGGAATTCTAATGCTTTATTGAAAGTAATGGAGGGGCTGCTGACTCTTTTACCCCAGTAAGGTAATAGATTGAAACTTTTCTTTGGGAAAGTGAGTCTGGCAGTTTGGTGTAGGGTGGATGGGAGCATGGACAGGCATTAAGGACATTTGTTCTAGGTTAGAGGCAACAAGTGCCTGAACTAAGCCAGCAGAAATGGGAAAGGAGGGCTGCATATGGGGATGGAATCAGGAGAGGCATTGAGAAGATGATGCATGAGTGTGGAAATCAAGAGGACATCTAAATGTAGTTCAGTGGTAATACAATCAGTAAAAAGAAACGAACAAATATGGTTTGCAAATGGGAGCGAGGCATGGTTTCTAATTTTTATTTTGAGTTTCATAATTTTTTTAGTTTTGAATCCCATTTTTGTGTGTGTGTATGTATGCACATGTCCATGTGTATATACGGCACACCTACCTTAGTGACTGTGTGAAGGCCAGAGGACAACTTCAAGTATCAGCCCCTACTTTGCACCCTGTTGCAGATAGCATTTCTTGTTGCTTGTCTCTATGTACATCAGGCTAACTGCCCTACAAACTTCCAAGAACTGTCCCATCCCCTCCTCTCAGCTTGCATAGGCATGCTGAAATAACATATGTCCCCCCCTGTGTACAGAATCATGGGTGCTAGGATTCTGAATTCAGGTCTTGGTACTCTTACAGCCAGTGCTATGCCCACTCAGTTACCTTCTCAGCCCTGAATACTCATTTCAATTATCTTTTGGTAATAGAACAGAATAATATGGTGGGAGAACAAAGAAATATAGAAAAGCCATTAATATTTAGCATAGATTTCTGATTCTAAAATGATTATAGCATAGGCCTCAGGAGGTCACATAATTAGTTCTAGCATCTTCTTGGTTTTGACTTTTTAAATGCTCAGGTCTGGCCCTTCAGGTGGGACATGGCAACTCATGGGGCAGGAGAGACATTTCAGGCTGAGGAACAGTCATTGTACTTAAAACAGGCAGCCTTCAGGTTCTAACTTGAGGTGAATTTGCATATGGTATGTAAAGATGAAAAACTAGGCTGTATTCAGATTGTGGCAGGCCTTGCAGTTTTGTCGAAGGAATTCTAATGCTTTATTGAAAGTAATGGAGGGGCTGCTGACTCTTTTACCCCAGTAAGGTAATAGATTGAAACTTTTCTTTGGGAAAGTGAGTCTGGCAGTTTGGTGTAGGGTGGATGGGAGCATGGACAGGCATTAAGGACATTTGTTCTAGGTTAGAGGCAACAAGTGCCTGAACTAAGCCAGCAGAAATGGGAAAGGAGGGCTGCATATGGGGATGGAATCAGGAGAGGCATTGAGAAGATGATGCATGAGTGTGGAAATCAAGAGGACATCTAAATGTAGTTCAGTGGTAATACAATCAGTAAAAAGAAACGAACAAATATGGTTTGCAAATGGGAGCGAGGCATGGTTTCTAATTTTTATTTTGAGTTTCATAATTTTTTTAGTTTTGAATCCCATTTTTGTGTGTGTGTATGTATGCACATGTCCATGTGTATATACGGCACACCTACCTTAGTGACTGTGTGAAGGCCAGAGGACAACTTCAAGTATCAGCCCCTACTTTGCACCCTGTTGCAGATAGCATTTCTTGTTGCTTGTCTCTATGTACATCAGGCTAACTGCCCTACAAACTTCCAAGAACTGTCCCATCCCCTCCTCTCAGCTTGCATAGGCATGCTGAAATAACATATGTCCCCCCCTGTGTACAGAATCATGGGTGCTAGGATTCTGAATTCAGGTCTTGGTACTCTTACAGCCAGTGCTATGCCCACTCAGTTACCTTCTCAGCCCTGAATACTCATTTCAATTATCTTTTGGTAATAGAACAGAATAATATGGTGGGAGAACAAAGAAATATAGAAAAGCCATTAATATTTAGCATAGATTTCTGATTCTAAAATGATTATAGCATAGGCCTCAGGAGGTCACATAATTAGTTCTAGCATCTTCTTGGTTTTGACTTTTTAAATGCTCAGGTCTGGCCCTTCAGGTGGGACATGGCAACTCATGGGGCATGTAAGAGCTTTTCACATCTATCATATGTCCCCTCCTCATTTCTACTTCATAGGATCAGTATGTAAGAGCTTTTCACATCTATCATATGTCCCCTCCTCATTTCTACTTCCTATTATCAGCTGATTGACAAGCCTGTATAGATTACATGACAAATGAAGACCTTTCTGGAGTTATTCCCAGAGAATGTTTCAACTCTTTATCAAATTAAAAACACCTTCCTTCTCATTCCTCTTAGTGTAGAAACTCATCTATATGAAGTTAATCACTGTCTATTTTAAACAATTGCTTACATGATAAAACAGCAACTTTCCAGGCAGATGCCTTGGTCCACTGTATTACTGTTCCTCCCTGAGCATTGCTCTGCCTAGATTACTGAGAATCTGATGAACAATGGCATTCTGTCAGAAGCACGCCACTATAACAGTGAAGCTGATGGGAAGATGAACAAGGGTGCTGCCTTTTATGAATTTAACTTTGATTTAGTGTCATAAGTAGATGAATAGGTAGGTGGCAGGTAGGGAAATGATGGGAGAGTAGATAGACACAGGGGTGGATTGAATGACTGAATCTCAGAATCTTTTTTAAAA